TTAATTATATGCGCTACCAAATTTCACTAAAACATAGACGTGTTCAGCTGTCAAGCCGCCAAAATAAAAGCTTAATGGTTTAACGTTTGAAAATGAATTAAGATGGAAAAATTAGTATTGTAATTTTGCAGTTGTACTATAAAATAAGATTTTATTAAAATAATCTACTATCAGTGAGATACTATTATAGATTATATTAATAAGGTTTTATTTTTATATATTGTTTGTTTTCATTTCTGTTATTGTTTTAGTATTTTTTGTGTTTTGTCATTTTGACCAAATACATTTTTTAATATATTAATATTTTTTAATGTCTAAACAGTTTGTATTATTTTTTATTTCAGTATTAGTTTTATTTATTTTAGTATATCAAGTAAAAACTAAATAAAAATGAGAAATGTTTACTTGGCAACTAACCGAATTAAAATTCGTTTTTAAAAAATATTTCATTTTAGTTAACATTTATTTTATTTCAGATAACAAAAAAATGTTGTTTATGTTTTTCATTACACTATATTTCTTTTTTCCCAATATTTATATTTAATAACAGTCAATATTATTATTATCTGCGCTCAAAAAACGTCTTCAGAATATAAAGTTTATTTTAAAATTATTTTTATTTTGCATAAAATCATCCAACTCCTTCTCGAATGATTAATTACTTCATAATAAATCTATTCAAGTCATCTGGTGAAAATCCCTGCATTTTTTCATATCTTAATATAGCAGAAAAACTAAATATTGTTGTACAACTCTAACATTAACCACTACTCAGTTTCATTTCTTTCTTAATTCCGATTGGCTTATTTCCAGAACTGTTTCTATTGGTTAATTTCCAGAAGTGCTACAGGTTAACATGTGACCACGGCAGTGTCATGTGACCTCACCTCTGACCCCGAAGAGGACAGGTGCACAGTGAGCAGTCTCTGATGGAGCCCTGAACCTTCCCATAATACCCTGCGGCGCAGACGTGGCAGTGCTCTCCTGCGGTGTTGTGCTGGCAGCCCTGAACACACAATGATCTCAGCATCTCAAGCAGCTGCTTCTGTCTGTATTATCAGTTAGTTCGGATGCAGCAGCTCGTCTGTATTTCTCACCAGACATTCGCCCGTGTCCAGGTCACATGACAGGCTGTGGTTGTTGCAGCGGCAGGGGACGCAGGGCCGAATGAGCGGACGCTTTCTGCCCTTCACGCTGAGCTCAGACACGGCCTGACGGTAAAACCCCGGAGCACACTCCTGGAACAGAGAGCATGATGGGTAAAAACATCAGATCATTCATCAAAACACCCCATAAAATAACAGAACTCAACACCGAGTGATACTAATGTGAAAGTATATTATTTTTATACACACTATATTTATTTATTTATTTTTTGTATTGACTTTCTACATTTGTATAAATGGCAGGAAATATTATATTGTATTATATAATTAAGTATTAATTTATATTATTTATATATTTAATTTTATTTATTTTTAATTTCATTTTCAGTATTTATCCAACTTTCACAATTTTGACAAATGGCAGGAATTATATAATTTCTAATTATATTGTATTATATTTTTAAGTTTAATGTTTATTTTTTACATTTGATTATTTTTTATTTAAAATATTTAGTACTTATCAGTTTCTAAATGTTGATAAATGGCAGAAAATATTAGAAATTATACATTATATTGTATTATATTATTAAGTATTAATTTATATTATTTATATATTTAATTGTATTTATTTTAATTTCATTTTCAGTAGTTAGCAAACGTTCACAATTTTGACAAATGGCAGAAATCATATAATTTCTAATTATATTGTATTATATTTTTAAGTATTAACTTTATATTACTTATATATTTTATTTTATTTAGTTTTAGTTAAATTTTTTTTTTTTTTTTACTTTTTATTTTTA